CCGTGCGGCTCCGACCCTGCGTTGCGCTTTTGCAGCAGCGGCCAGCCCTGAAACTGGGGTGTGTGCAGGTGTCCAAGGGTGCGCATCTGACCCGGGGAGTGAAGCCCCGAGCGCGCGACCCTCCTCAGCCGAGGATAAGGCAGGGTGCGCGGTGGGCTGAGCCCGCGGCGGGAGCCACCTCGGTCGTCAGTTCTGAAGGCCCTGCTGGGTCCTTAGGCCCCATGGCGGCGTCAGCGCAGAGGGACCTGGTGCAGGTGAGTGGGTGGCTTCAACCCTCCGCTGCGGCTTTCCACTGTCTTGGTCCTGGCGCCAACATAGAACGGATGGCGCTGTTCTCACCTCTTTCACCTCTGCCGTCTCCCTGCTTTGACTCAGGAGTCCTTGGCAGGAGTCACTCCTGGCATGGATCCTGACTGCCGGCCAGGCATTCTGTAGAGCGGTTTCCATCTCTGAGCTCCGAGGGGTGAGGGGAGGAAGAGTTTCTTGAGCACAGAAACAGGCACGTGGAGATGCTTGAGGTGGGGGCCTAGTTGGGAGCGTTCAAAAAACTCAGTGACTGTTGTCTGCTGGACCAGATAGCGCCCCTAGAGTGACAGGCTGAGGAGGGGGGTGCTACTCTGAGGACGCTGGGCGCGGTGGACGGTTTAGAACAGGGAAGGAGAGTGACTCCGGTCTTGTTAGCCTCTCTGTGGATGCAGAGCGGAACCCAAGTGTGGGGTGAGAGCCAAGGCAGGGAGGCCAAGGAGCACCCGCTGCAGCCGTCGGGATCTGCGATCCTGGTGGCCAGGTAGAACTGCAGGTGTGTTCTGTGTCTTTCAGAAACATCAGGCTGATCATGTTGTCTCTTGTGGACGGTGAGGAAGAGGAGGCATGCTCCGTGGTGTTTTGCTTCCTTAGGAAGAAGAATCAACAAGTCATCAGCAGAGAAAAAGGGTAGTGGCTGCAGCGGGAATTTTCAGTGGAAATAGAAGTTAGGTTTGGGACATGTTGAGTCTCTAATGCTCCAGGGACCCTGAGTAGATCTGAAGAGTGGTTAAACACAGTTACAATGTTCTAGGGATGTGTTAATTGAGGTCGTAAGAGACAATCTACAACTCAGACAATGGCCAGACAATATGTAAAAATAGAGCTCTGGCCTCTGAAAAATAGAGCTCTGCCCAGGAAACCACCCTTTCTTCTCTAATCAGCATTGCAGGAAGGATTGTGAGTCAGACCGGCAGAAAACAAGATTGCTATCTCTAGTGACAAGCCAGGATGTTAGACAAAAACTTCTTTCACAGTTGTCCTTTTTTGAATGGGCTTGATTAATAACAGACCATTTCTGTAATTTTTGTTCCTATGCCCAGTTTAGGACCAACCAGAGAAAGCTAAAGATGCTTATATAACCAGTCTCATCTGAGGCCCTGTTTCTAGTTAAGGTCCCAACAGACAGCTTCCCAAGCCCCCAGCCCCCAGTCAGATACGCCTTTCCTCTGTTACAATGCTCTGCCAGTGCTGGGTCTGCCTTTAAGTCTCTGAGAAACCACCCATGATGGTGCCTGATTCCTTGGCTACAGTAAACAATGGATAAACAGCCTTAGCTTCTCTTCTCTGGTTTGTCTTTATTTCCACAAAACATCCCAACTGCAGCATCATTTTGTGGGCAAGAGTGTATGTCAGATTTAAGAGGATCAATGTTCAGGTCATGGTGGCAGCATCCTAAGAAAAAAGAATGTGGGCCCAGAGGACTCTGTGCATAGGATCTTGCTTGGGCACCATATTTGGCTTGTTTAGCATCATAAAAACAAATGAGAAAGAGTGTCATTGTGTAGGGGATGTCAGGATATAAAGGAATGTGGCGGGTGGCAAAATGTAACTAGGAAATGGATGCTGTGGCTTGGGAGTCGTGGAGGTACTGCTACCACGTGGCTTTTGTGGCGTCTCACAATGGAGCTTTTAGTCAGGCTGGGCAATTAGCAAGGGACAAATGAGATTTCTCAGACTTGCAGGGAAACAGAGAGGAGTGGGGAGAGAAAGCACAGAGGGACCAGGATCCCCATATGCCTCTCAGGAGCAAGCCTACCATGACTGAACTTCCTCCAGTTAGTCACAGGTCCTAAAGGTTCCTCCATCTCCGGTACAACCACAGCCAGGGGTCCGGGCCTTCAGCATGTAGGACTTGGGGTACATGTCACATTGGGGTAGGAGGACCAGAGGGGTTGCCTTTTGAATACTTGTGAATGATGAAGGGAGAGTGTGCAACACAGAAGAATGCCAGGATGTCTGGCACCTGTGTGTGCTCGATGTGGTTTAAAGCCAGGAAGAAGGTCAAGTGGAGAGGCCTCCAAAGCAAAGATGAGTGTTACCCCTGGCAGTGGGCACCATCAAAGGCCCGGGGCAGAATGGTATCATGCTCGTATTGGCCAGGCTGGCTCCAAGTACAGTGTACAAAGTGACACCCAGGAGTCCACAAAACTGGCTGAGAGGCAGGCAAGGATGGGGAGAAGGTAGCTGTGACCATGGGAGTGCAGAACAAGGTCTGGAACTGTAAGGAAGGTGCAGGACAAAGAATGAGGTACAAATAGGAACGGGCCTGGACAGGAAACTGAGGATGAAAACCAAGCCCTCCCTGGATTGTATCTAAGAAGCACGACATTGCAAATTTAGGAGAAGGGGCCAGAAGAGCAGGGGTCGGGCCCTACACTTCAGGCCCAGACCTCAGATGGCAACCGGCTGTCCTCCTGCCTGTCCTGCTGTAGGCTGACAGGGTGAACGTGTGAGACGTGAGAAAAAAAGCCAGGGCTAATGTTACCAGGACTGGTGTTTCCTCGGAGCTCGGAAGAAGGTGACAGAGAGGGGAAGTAGGGAATGGAGAGGGAGGCCCGAGGAGAGAGGCTGACCGTGGAATGAACTGTCCCCATCACGGCAGGGCTGTGTGACCTTTGAAGACGTGACCGTTTACTTCTCCCAGGAGGAGTGGGGGCTGCTCAGCGAGGCACAGAGACTCCTGTACTGCGATGTGATGCGGGAGAACTTTGCACTCATAGCCTCTCTGGGTAAGGCCGTCACACTTGTCCAGTTGTCCTGAGCTCCTCTCTGCCTGTCCCCTTTGGACAAGAGATAGCTCTCTTTCCCATGCCAACACTATGAACACTGCTTCTCCCCATGTTCCTATTCTGTGTGTCGTGGATTCCAGTGGGTTACCGGGCAGTGCCTCATCTTTCCTGATCAGCTCTACTTCTGCTGCCCAAAGCCATGCAGGGAAGGACCAAGCAGGAGGAGCCTTTTGGCCAGCCCCATAGAACCCATCCTGTCTGTCACTCCTCACCTGGGTGACTGTCCAGGTCTCTGACACCCCTGTGTTTTAATTTCTGCTCCTTCCTTTGCTAACATGTCCTGTATAAGTCTGTGCAGAAATACCAGGCACTGATTTGGTCACTACCTGTAAATCACTGGGACGTGCCTATCAGACCTTGCTTGCATGTACAACTTGTGAAGCTAAATTTTCTTCCCTGTGGTCTGTTCTGCGTTACTTTCCCTGGGCATGTGTTGACGGATGACCTCTCCATCTGTCCCTTAGGGCTCACGTCTTTCAGGTGCCATGTTGTTGCCCAACTCGAAATGGGGAAAGAACCCTGGGTGCCTGACAGAGTGGCTATGACTTCAGCGATGGCAAGGGGGGCTTTGGGCAGATCTGGCTCTGGTAAGTGGGAGCTGGGGGAGGACTGGCTTCTTTTCTCGTATTTATCATTATTTGTTTGAAACCTAATGTCTACTCTATCTCTGCCATACCTTCCACATTCTTGTGTCCTTGCTATTTGGATTTCTGATCCAACTTTAGCTTTTGTCCCCACCTTTCCGGTCCTCCCACACCGGCCTCTGCAGCACTCTTTACTGCTGGATTCCATTTCATATAACCTGAGAAGAGCGTGTTTCCTTGATGTCTTTGTACATCAGCTAGTCACTTGTAGTCAGATTCCCATGAGCCTGGTCATTCCCCAGTTTCCCAGAAGCCAATGCCCTGCTCCAAGGCCTTTGTAGAAAAGTGAGTTGAGGACCCTGCCTCTTTCCTCAATACCCCATCCTTGAGGTAGCGACATTCCCTGTTTTGTGGCCTGGCAAGGCACAGTAATTCAGAGAGGCAACCATTCCTTACCCTGACCTGAAGTTGTTCATCCTGCCAAGGTTCCTGAGGACTCATTCTGGGATCCATCAGGCTGTTTCCTTCTGTCAAAGTTTATTTGAATTGACTAGCATTTCTCTTTGCAGATTTTTTCTGTGGAACAGAGGGTAAGGTGTTACCTTCTGAGGAAAGTATTTCTGTACAAGGAATATCTCAGGATGGGAATCCCAAGACAGCTCTGTCTATGCAGAAGACCTACTCCCGTGACACATGTGGCCCATGCCTGGAAGACATTCTGTGCCTGGCTAAACACCAGACAGCTCATGCCAGGCAAAAGCCCTTCATGTATAAGACAAATAGGACAGGGTTCAAGTTCAACACAAACCTTGCCCAGCAACAGGTGCAGAAGAATGCAGACAAGTCTGCCAAAAGGGAGAAGGAAAAGGCCTTCCCTGGGAAGACATGCACAGACCACACGTCACAGAAGCCTTCTATGTGTGGGGAGGAGAGGGAGGACTTTGTGGCCACATCAGGCTTTGTGCAGCTCACTCACAGTGTGGAGGAGGCACACAAGAATTCTAAATGTGCCTTAGATTCTCCCACTGCCCCAAAACATAACAAGAGCGGTCAATCTAGGGATGCTTTCAGTGACACATCCACACTTGTTCGTCAACAGAGCATCCGCACTGGAGAGAGGCCCTATGAATGTAGCAAGTGTGGGATATTCTTTAGCGATGCCTCCAGCCTCATGCAACATCAGAGAGTTCACAATAGAGGAAAACCTTATGAGTGCTGTGAGTGTGGGAAATTCTTTAGCCAGCACTCTGGTCTTGTGAAACATCAGAGAGTTCACACTGGTGAAAGCCCCCACATGTGCAGTTACTGTGGAAAATTCTTTAGCCGAAGCTCCAATCTCATCCAACATATGAGGGTCCACACCGGTGAAAAGCCGTATGAGTGCAGCGAGTGTGGGAAATTCTTTAGCCAGCGTTCCAACCTCATTCATCATAGGAGGATTCACACAGGTAGAAGTGCTCATGAATGCAGGGAATGTGGGAAATCTTTTAACTGCAACTCCAGTCTGATCAAGCATGGGAGAGTTCACACTGGCGAAAGACCTTATAAGTGCCATGAATGTGGGAAATTCTTCAGCCACATTGCCAATCTCATTCAACACTATATAGTCCACACTGGTGAACGGCCTTTTGGGTGCAGTGAATGTGGGAAAACCTTCAGCCGAAGCTCTGACCTCATGAAACATCAGCGAGTTCACACTGGTGAACGGCCTTATGAGTGCATTGAATGTGGGAGGCTGTTTAGCCAAAGTTCCAGCCTCAATAGTCATAGGAGACTCCACACTGGTGAGCGACCTTATCAGTGCAGTGAATGTGGCAAATTCTTTAATCAAAGCTCCAGCCTCAGCAACCATCGGAGGCTTCATACTGGTGAACGGCCTTATGCGTGCAGTGAATGTGGGAAAACCTTCAGACAAAGGTCTAATCTGAGGCAGCACCAGAAAGTTCACAAGCCAGACAGGCCTTATAAATGCAATGAATGTGGCAAAGCCTTCAGCCAAAGGCCCACCCTTATTCGGCATCAGAAAATTCACATGAGAGAAAGAAATGTGCATCCTTCTTGTTCAGCACAGATGCACACGTCAGAGGAAGGCTGTGATAGTGGACTTCATGAAGGTGTGTCAACCAGATGCTGAGCCTCGTTCATCCATGCGGTCACACTAGGGTGATTCCCTATTATAGCCAGATGTGATGGATGTTTTCAGGAGCTAAGATATATTTATATATTATATCACTGCTAGAAGCCATCTCAGCTCTGCCTACTCTGTAGCCTCCAAAGTGTGTCAGCTACTCCACTATCTCAAGAAAAGCAGTCTTCTGTTTTCTTTCCAGTTTTTGAAGGGAATCTCAGGTTCCTGAGACCATAGGAAGATGTCAATCCTCCCCATGACTAGTCTAGCTATGGACATAACCCATCTTTGTCCCTGATGACCTAAATAGGGGGTCTGCTGGCAGCTTACTGTGAGTGTTTCTTTTTCAGGGACATGAATCGATCTAATGTAATGTTTGTGATTTATCCATCCTCCATGTGACCCCACGCAACTACCCACTGTGCATTGTTCTGGTTTAAGTGATATTAGGGGTGTTAACGACAAGCCTGTCTTTAATCTTCCATGTTGTGATTACTGTGAGGAGTGGATTGAGAACACTACTAAAGTCTACTAAACTAAAGGGTGGATAGCCCTTGTGTGTACCTCCAAATCGAACGCCTTAGAAGTGGCACTAGGTTGGCAGAGAGCAACTCTCGGCCCAAATTTGGCCTTATGTGCGTTACTAACTGAGGTGGGCCCATAATTTGTATAGAAACACACAGTGTAATTATAGGGAGGTTGATGGAGTGTTGCCAAATGTAATTTTCTAAAATGAGTGAATGGTCAGGAATTTATGTGCAACATTTTCTTTTAATATTTTGTTTAAAACTTAACATAAAATATAAATATAATTGATGTGTGATAATTTCCAGTATGTATTTGATATACACAATTAGACACGTTCTGAAATATGTATACACTCAGGGAACCAACACCATAATCATGATAATGAAATATCTATCCATCACTGTGAAAGCCACCTCCTGGCCATTTATAATCGTTCTTTGCCTTCTCAGGAAACCATTAATCACATCCCAGGGAAACCATTGATTTAATTTTTTTATTATAGATTTGTTTACCTTTTCTACAGTTGTGTACAGTTGTAATCCTATAGTATTTATACTCTTGTGGTCTAGTTTCTTCACCCAGCATAATTATGTTGACTTTCTAAATTATTTTAGCTATTAACAAGAGAGAATGTTTATATGTGAAAGCACAATTATCTTGAGATTCTCTGTGCTATGTATATGGTTATTTTGAACTTTTTCTGGTAAAATATAATATAAAATTTATAGTGTTAACCATTTCCAAGTGCACAGTGCAGTTCTATTAAATATGTTCATATTGTTTACAACCGTCACCACCATTTACCTCCAAGTCTCTTCATTTTGTAAAACTGGAAATATATGTTGATTAAACAATAACTCCACATTCTTTCCCCACCCTTGGCCCTGAAAACCACTTTTTTTTAATTGGTACTGGGGATAAAACTCAGGACCTTGTGCTTGCAAGACTGGCGCAGTGCCACTGAGCTACATCCCTGGCCTGACTATTCTGTTTTGTCTGCTTGAATTTGACTACTCTAAATACCTCACAGAAGTGGAATCATAAATATCCATGTTGTTGTGGCTAGATTATTTCATGTAGTGTAAGTCCTCAAGGATCACCAGTGTTGTTATACATGTTAGCATATCCTCTTTTAAAGGCTGAAAAGAATCCCCAATTTTTTATTTTTTATTTTTTTGTACCAGGGATCAAACTTGGGACCTTGCACTTGTGAGGCAGGCGGTGGCACCACTGAGCTAAATCCCTGGGCCCCAATTTAATTTCTAAATTAATTCCTAAATATTTTATTCCTTTTGATACTATAAAAATGGAATGATTACCATATTTCCTCTTTAATGTTGTTTATTGTTGGTGTGTAGCAACAACTCACTTTTCTGTGTTGAAACTGTATCCTGTTACTTTGGTGAATTTAGTAATTTATTTATTAGTCATAACAGTCTGTCTTTTTCTTTTTTTTTGGGTCCTAATCCAATCTGACTGGTGTCCTTGTAAGAAAAGGAGACTAAAGCACACACACAGAGATGTGTGCACATTGAGCAAAGGTATAGGAAGCCATCAGCAAGCCTCAGGAAAGGCCATAGGAGAAACCAAATCTGTCAACAGCTTAATCTTGGACTTCCAGCCTCCAGAACAGAGAACATAAATTTCATTTGCTTAAGCCACCCAGTCAGCGCTGCCCCCCGCCCTGCCCCAGTACTTGGCATTGAACCTAAGGCTACACAGAGCTACATCCCAGCCATTTTATTTTTTATTCTGAGACAGGGTCTTTTGCCAAGTCACTGAGTTGCTCAGGTGATGCTCCAATTTGCAGGCCTTCTGCCTCAGCCTCCCAGAGTACTCAGATTACAGGTGTGTACTTTCTTTCTTCTCCCCTATTCCTTCTGAGTGCCTCCAGCTGCCCTTTTAGTATCTAATTTCTATTTTCCTCTGGTACTTATACATTTCCATTATAATCAACTTCTGCTCGAATCTGTATTTTTCCTCCATTCTACTTAATAAAAATAAAATTTCATGATCAAATAAGAGAATGATAGTAATTATTTACATGGTGTATCATTGTCTTCAAAGTAGTTACTCAGAGTACAACACAGAAACCAAAACAATCCAGATATTTTATTTTCATCAATTAAGTATAGTGGAGACAAGCAGAACTCTAGTTAGCCAAATCTGGATGGAACTGGAATTCTTACAATTAGATATTTTAGGAGTGTAGAGTAGAGTCATGCTGTTTAATTTTCCAAATAGGCCTCATCCGGGTATTTCCTTAAAAATATCTCTGATTTTTAAGAAACAGAATGCCAACAGCTTCTAAGTCATATGTTATACCTACATTTAACATTTTCAGGAGTGGGGCTGGGGATGCAGCTCCGTGGTACAGCACCTGCCTGGCAAGTGTGAGGTCCTGAGTTTGACCCCTGGTACAAAAGAAATTTTTTTTCCAGAAATTACAGAGTGGGCATGAGCTTTTCTTCCTTCATTACCACAAGTCCCAAAATAGGTTTGTGCAATTATCATTACCAGAGATGATTTGTTTCTTCATATGAGTTACTATCTAATGTTCTTTCTTTTTACCTTGAAAGATTTGTTTTAGTGCTTCCTTTAGGGATGATCCAATGGTAACAAACTCCCTCAGGTTTTGTGTACCTGGGAATGCTCTCTGGAGGAGGGTTGCCTTATGGAAATGGCATGTCTCTTGGCAGGTAAGCCAAAAATAACCCCAGGAATAAGGAAGGGTTCTAGGTGCTAGGGTAAAGGAACAGGTGTTTGGAAAATGAGAATGGCTGGTGGTAAAGATATGAAGAGGATGAAGGCACGTGTGCTGGAGGAGGTAGAATCAGGAAGGCCAGAGCCCAAGTAGTGCCACAGAGACAGGACAGCATGGATATTCTCCGGCCAGTGGCCTAGCAGAGCTGAGGAGTTGTGGCCGGTCCAATGGATCAGAGGCTACAATGAGTCTCCTTTCTTCCTAGAGCTGCCCTGTGCACTGGTGTCTGCCTCATCCTATCTCTTTGTTCTGTAGGGTTCTTTCTAAGACTCTCAGAGAAGGGTATGATAGAAAGGCAATGAGCCCCCCACCCACCCAACTTCCTGGGATGAGCAGACTCCCCATACAGGCACCAGAGGCACAGGTGTACACAGCAAGATCCACAATCACACTGAATGCATGTTTTTTTCTGATGTTATTCTCTCATAAAAGCAGTTCTTCAGTTTGCTGGCATTTGCAACCTGACAGGGTTTTACCAATCAGGTGTTCATCAGTATAACAAAATACCTGACACAGGCTACTTATGAAGTACAGAGGTTTATTTACCTCCACAGTTTTGGAGGTTAAAATTCCAAATAGCATACATAATATAGGCGCTATGGCAAGGGCTACTCCTTGGCTGTATCACCTCACAGCAGAAAGCAAAGTTACAGGAACATATACAGGAGCCAGAGGATTACATTTTGGGTCAGGGAAGAGAGGTAGGAGGGGCCAGACTTGCTACTTTTATGACAACCTTTCACTAGGACTAAGGAGGTTGCAAGAGAACTATCTTCCAAGAACACATTCTAATGACCTAAGAACCTCCCGCTAAATCCTACTTTCTAAAGTTTCAACTATCGCCCAATACTGCCAACCTAGAGACCAATCAAAATAGGCCCGTGGGGTGATGTCCAATCCATTTTTAAACCATAAGAGTCATCTTGGTATTTTGCTACTACATAGCATAATGATTTGCAGTGATTATGCTAACATTCTTGTGCACAAATGGGAAAATGTCACAATCCAATCACAAAAGCAAAATGAAACTCCCTTAAAACACACTCTACTCTAGGGCCAGGGATTTAGCTCAGTGGTTCTGCTGCCTGCTTTGCAAGCACAATGGTCCTGATCAATCCCTGTTTTTTACCCCTGGTAAAAAAAAAAAAAAAAAAAAAAACACTAAAGTTTCAGAATGCTAGAAAAACTGTGTCTCTAACCACTGTTAAGAACCTTTAAAAAAAAAAAATATATATATATATACCTGCTGTTGGTCTTATATTGGGAAAGACTCTGTCAGGGGCTTCATTTCCCAGGAGGGCAATGCTTGGAAGTGCTTAGAGCTACAGCGGGGAGGAAGTATATTTGCAGGCAATATGCTAATTTCTGAGTCAACGAAGACTCAGATTTCCTTCTCAATCTTGGGGTTTTGTCTGAGGATCAGGTGACACAGAAATCTAAGGCAGATTTCAAAAGGAATCAGACTCAGAAAAGAACACCACCATTCCCATAAAGAACCCCAGCGGTACACAAGTGAGGCAGTACAGCAGAATACAGGGTCCATTTTTAGGGTCTGAATGCTTGGTTTGAGCACTTACCAGCGGGCCATATGGTCATGGCCCAGTCACACATCTCTTGCAGCCTGTTTCTCCATCTGTACAATAAGGATTACTGAGTACTCACACCCAGTCTTGTTCTGAGGAGACAGTAAGATTGTACATATTAAGCTTAGCAACCTAATCAAAACAGTCTAAGGCCTGCTGCTGCCTAGTAAATACATTTTGAGTACTTATTAAGGAAAAAAGGGAAAGTCGTCCTTGATGTGAAGATCCTCTGGTTCTTCCACCTCAGGCTTCTCCAATGATTGCCTGTCAGCCTGTCACAACTGGATGATCTTGAAGACAATCTTTGGCTTTGACATTATGTGTCTTGAGTAGGGCCTGATGGCTCCTGCTCTAACCTGCTTTCATCATAATCTGTTCTTCATCCGATGAGCGGTCTCCTCAGCCAGTTTTGGGAGCCGTGACTTCTTTCTTACTTTCTGGCTGAGAATTCATGCACTGACTCCCGCTACCACCTAGTTCTTTGACATGTCCCCAAACCAAAGCTGAATTTGCCAGTTTCCTGACAGCCTTGGAGTCTTCCTTCACCGTGGACAGCCTGCTCCGGGTGCCCCTTGCACTGGAATAGGGTCTGAGGAGCAGGAGGGGCGTTGACAGCCTTATGATCCAAGCATACCAGCGCTTCTCACTCAAGACAGGCCTGTGGGCAGATGGTGGCCAACGGCATCTACCAGGCTGCATTAACCAGATGTGGCCCCATGGCTGAGCTGCTGCAGACATTATCCAGGTGATACTATCCAATTCATCAAGCAACCTGAAGTTGTTCCTGAAGACAGCGGAGACATACTTCATGGTGGGACACCAGGTGAAGTGCTACATCTTCACTGACCAACCTATGTTCCTTGAATCATGCTCCAAAAAAGGGAGGCAGCTAGTCATCCTCAAGGTCCAGAGCTATGCTCACTGGCAGGACATCTCTATGTACCACATGAGTTACGCGAGATGAGTTTTCACCGAATGGAGGTGATCGGCAATTTTTCCCAGCAGCACTTTCTCAGGGAGGTGGGTTGTCTTGTTTGGACAGATGTGTACATAAAGTTCAGGGACCATGCAGGTGTGGAGATCCTCTGCTCCTGACAACAATGGGATAGTCAGAGAAACTTTATCTAGGGTTGCTGACCTCAGTCACAAGCCTATCTTCTGTTGGGAGCCATTCTACATAATTTTGAGGAAAATCGTTTCATAATTAAAGTATGGCTATAGCTGGCTAAGGCCCAATTCCACCTTGCCCATGAGCCAGCTATGACATGTAGAAACATAACTCTGTTTTGCCTCTGGTCATAAGTTGAGGCCTCAGTGGTCCCAATACAAGATTACATCAGCTGAAGACATCCTGGTTCTTCAAGAATCGAGTAGTAATAAAAAGAGAAGGGTTTCACCTAGGGGAAGGACAAACTCTTCATTAGCCTGCTATCTCGTCCCACCTACTATTACAAGAATGCTCTCCTTACCACTCTTGACATAAGATCTTCAGCGACCTAAGATCCTTCATCAACGTAGGACTACCATTGCCCCTGAGTCCCCCGAAGCTCCCTCCAGTCACTGCATGTACCCAATAAATAATGGCTAGCTCAGAGTGTCTTTGTCTTTGCCCACTCTAAGGCACTGACCTTTAGCCCGTGCCATCCCCCTTTCTAGGCAATCGGGGTCTGAACCCCCTCCAGTAATATTCTAAAAGACAAAGGGGACTTTTATTACACACAAACCTTACCCA